GAAACATGCCTAAAGATTAATGATATGCCTGGTACCTTGGCCGTTACGGGATCAGCTTCAAGAGGGAGAATTCTAGAAATTAGAAAGTATTTGACAGTTTTTACATTTCACATGAATCGTACCTTCTCACTTTCACGTAGTCTTCAAGAAGCTTTTCGGGATATTTTATCCATTCATCAATGATTCTCACAATTTCTTTAAATGGTGGTCGTTTCGTTCTGTCTGTCATCCAACATTCTTTCATTAACTCATGCACTGTTTTAGGACACGTCTATAACCAAAAATATTTATGTTGTATAATGCCTCTTTTCACAATCACTAACATTCAGCATGAAAGTATAGAATGAAATGTTCTCGAGTGCGAGTTATTTAAGGTAACGAGTATAGATGTAAGTATATACCATTACCATTGGCGGGAGCAGTCTATATCCTTGGTTGACAAATATCACAACCTATAAAAAACACCGCAAGAATAATCCAGTCATATAATGTGCAAAAGACTGCTTTATACGAAGAATATATCGCATACTGACTTCTCCGTTGCGCCAATTCCGATAAGGTTTTTCAGCAAAGGACATTATTTCCCAAAGTAGAATACCATAACTCCAGATATCACTGGCTGTTGAAAATTTGAGATAAGTAATGGCTTCGGGCGCTGTCCACCGCACAGCAATTTTGCCTCCCTAGAAATATAAACTGTACGTTATATACCTTAAATATAATAATACTTAGAATATCTCATCTATTTTTAAATTCCCACTTCTCTCAATGCCATCCAGTCACTCAGTGTTTTGACTGCCGATTTTTTCATTCTTCAGATGGCCTGTGCAATGAGCCCACTGACCTGTGATTCATACTCTGAGTCTTCAGTATTGTCAAGATCCCTGGATAAGCCAAAGTCAGCGACTTTACAAATAAGATTCTCATTAACTAAAACATTCCTGGCGGCCAAATCCTTAAATGAAGAAACACCAATATTAGAGTTTTTTCGTTAATACTATAAACTAGAATGCGAAAACGATAACATTTAAACAAATTATCATTGTCATGGAAGACAGGCCTAGCCGGGGACCCGGAAGTTTACCAGAAATTCCAGAATACTAGTATACTCGATAATATACTGGCTCAATATACCAGTTTACCTAAAATTCCAGGTTAAAATGTAAGATAAAATAAAACGATCTAAATGGTATTATATCTGAAAGCACTGGCCGGGCCTGGTAGAGTAAATCATGTCGCATTCTGTGCGAGCCAGTTCCACCTAAACACCATCGAGACAAGAGTGATCTGCAATAATACTGTAGGTGTCATTATAAAGATCGAAAAAGACAGGGGAGTAGTTCTCCCACTCGGCACCAACCATGTGGGCGACTCATGGAACTGCCCCCTCCCCTAAATTTATCAAGCATCCTATCCCCCTGGAAAAAGATAAAATATTTCCTTACTCTATGGACAAAATTCATTCCGGCCAGGTACTCCATACCACTGGCAACTCCCCGGGCCATTCTTAGCAGTTGTAATTGATTCAACATTCCATCATTTTCCTAAAAACAATAGAGATCAAAATTTTTTGCAAGGTTTGTGGCACGAGGAATAATATCAATTGTATTCGATATATATTGTATTCGTTTCAATTTACCTTTAAATATTTATCTAAAGATCCATTCTCCATAAATTCTGTCACAATGAGAAAAGGCGTACCTAAATAGAGCACAAAACAACATAGTCACCAATCTTTACCATTTTAACCGTTCTGATCCATACATTCTCATCATAATCATCACCATCTACAGCACCATTATCATCATCATCATCATCATCTTTATTCATCATCATCACTCATCATCATCGTCAACATTATATCATCATTACTCATCGTCGTCGTCGTCCATCATCCATCGTCCATCATTATATCATCAGCATTATCATCAATATTCATCATCATCATCATCATGACTATTTTTATCACCGAACCTTTTCACAACCTCTCAAGTACTTAATAACATGCTGCACCCTGGCTCTACAATGAAGAATTAAAAAAACACAGCTGGTAACGTACAATCACACAAGTAAATTTTTCCTGAACTTACTTTTAGTCACAACACCTTCCAAAGTGATCACATTCAAATTCTTAAATTGCCCCATCACAGACGCTTCAATGAGAAAATCTGTTCGGTCCTTATAAGATGCCCCTGGCTAGTAAATAATGTGTAACAATTGGTATCAATTAATGTAATTGTCAAGAGATTACAGCTGGCCTTATCTTCAAAATATGGTTAAAATCGTAGATCCCGCTTTTTCCAATTTGAAAAATATTTTTGCTAATGCAAAATTATGAAAACGAATGTGTACAAACATAGACAGTACCTTGAGCTTTTTAATTGCCACTTTCGTTGCTGGTTGCTCAGGAAGCTTCATTTCCCCTTTGTAAACATCACCAAATTGCCCTGGAAAACGTTAAATAGACAAACGGAAGTATTGAGTGTTTGTCTACCAATGTTGCATCGACAGTCCAGCTGTTTTAATGACTGTCCTATATTATTAGTTCATCTACAGTCCTAAATAATGATAATCATAAATTGTTGGCGACTTCACAACATAATATTTAGTACCTCCACCAATAATGGTTTCTAATTTAATCGAATGCCGGTCCAGTTCGTTTGCAAGCTCCGACACCGCTCTCTCAGGATCGGCATATGTGATTGGATCAACGTAATGTAGAGAGATATCTAAATAATATTGTAATAAATTGAGCTTATTTACAGACTACTTATTTTACAACAAAGCTGTTCTTAATTATATATATCCAATTAGATCATATGCACAGTTAAAATTTTTACTTGTAAGATGTCAAGAAAAGGGTACGAATTTTGTTTTGCTCACATGATAATCCTGGATACCCGATGAAGTATATATATGGATCAAAATTAATTCAGCTCACTTGTCTCACTTAAAGTAGCAAACTTATTCGTATGAGAGGTCATATCAATTCCGACAATTTAGACTTTAAGGCCCGAATTTCCACTCCGCAAAATAAGCAGCGGATCGGACCGGATCGAAGGTTTTTCCGATCCAGTCCGATCCAACAAGCGATTTCCAGTAAAAGGACAAGTGGAATGATAGGATCGGAAAAGGGAAAAAATGGAGCTCGTTCCAGTCTCATGCATCCTCCATTTTGTAAATTTTATACACTCAGGTATTTATTATTTTAATTTATGTGCGATAATACGGCATTTTGATTGGTCGCCAGGTTTAATCCGCGGGACCGGACCAAAATTATTTCAACATCAACATTTCAACTTTTCAGTTATCCGGCCAGCAACGTCGCCGGATCAATCGAAACCCGCAAAAATTTCTACTGATGGCGCATGCACGGATTTTGTTTTGTTCTTGTTTTCCGGAGTGGAAATTAGCCTTAACTGGGTATCCGGTCCTTTCAGTCATTCGGCTTCACCTTGGACTGAACTAATATCGGAGACTGCATGTATGATATCCAACAAGTACTTCATCATAGTCGGATTTGCTATACTGCGTCACACGCTTAGATGAATTTCCAACAATTTTGATCAAAGTGTTTAACACTGAGTCAGTTTCCTCAAACATGCATTTCTTACAAATCTTTCAAAACTTTGAACAAAACTTTCCTACATTGATCACAGAAATTTTGATAATGGAAACCAGCCTTAACATACTGCACTTTTGATCAAAGTCTTGAGTCATAAAACATTGTCACACGTTTTAATTAAACAAATTGTACAAATATTAGGATCAAATACCATGTCGCAGATTCAGATGAATTGCTCAACAAATTTAATGAAGAAACTTTAATGGTTGACATGCTTTCACTTACCTCTTTCAAATCCAAGGTTATCTTTTCCACTTTTCTTCGATTTACCTCTGAAGATCAAAGCGGCAAAAGTTTTTAATCTCATCACGAACAGCTGGCTTTGAGTAAATGGGCCAAGACAATAACATTTAGGATGGCCTAGGATATACTCAGGAGACTATAGAAGCTCTCAAAACCAACGGTGAGATGTGTTGAAGGCCATGTCACACAGGACAATTTTTGCTGCAACTTGCAACGCAATTTGTCACATTGAGGCATGTTACAGTATTTAAAAATAGTCACGGAGAAGTTGTAAATATGGCTCGCATTCTACTCTGTCAACACGTTCTTTACATAATATACTCTTATAAGGGATGAGAAAGGAAAGAAATTTAATGAAAAATGTCAGCAAAGTGAACCGTGGGCCATGCTCACAATTTTCCTGCGACTGCTTTTTAGACAAAATGGCTCTATGGCAGAAATTGCATTGCAAGTTGAATGGGAAGATTTGCCTAAGTAGTCGTAATTTGCACCGCATGAAGCATTTTTCATCAAGGCTTCGGTATTGGTGGGGTTAAGTGATAAAAAAATAATGAATGAAATTTCACCTTTGCCACCTTGAAATGATGAGAAGGACAATCAGCAGCACAATCACTACTGTTGCAACACCAGCTCCAATATAAATGAAAATATTATCTTTATCTTTGCCTTTATTATTAGATGTGCCGGGTGTCATTGTATTGGTGTCTGTGGTTGTCGGAAAGGTGGTAACTTTATTAACTACAGCTAGTATGATAAAATAAAATACAATATATTGGATAAGTGAAAAATTAATCAATATAAAATTAAAAAATGCTGAAATATATTTAGAAAGTTACTGAATATAGAACACAATAAAACCATGATAAAGAATATAATCTATATATAAGAGAATAAATTCATTGTAATAGAAAGACGACAGAACAGTATATGCATGTATATATTTCAATATCACAACACTGTACAATGCGCCATAAAATAAAACAGAATAATACAGTATAGAAACATTAGAATATAATAGAACAGAACAGAATAGAATAGAATGAAATGCAAATCTTTAAACATGTTATTCAGAAATGCTCATTGGATTAAAAAGAAACCCTCTTAATTGAAGTGTTCGTAGCCGTTTTTGTAAAAGAACAAAATCAATAGTCTGAAAACAGGGCAGTAAAACTGCCAGAATGTTGTAAAATAATAAAATATTGAACCCTCTCTACAGGGTGTATAAAAAAAAACTGAACAGATTTGAAATTGCTCTCAATTTCGCAAAACACCTATTTGTATCCGGTTTTTTCTATATATAGCTTTTTTGGGTACTTATAATGTAGAATAATGAAAAAAATTACTCGAACTCAAATTTTGTGAACCAGGGGGTGTGTCTTTTCCAACAAACTAAAAATGGCTCGCGCACAAAATTTAAAAGCTGTAATTATATTTTGAGTTAATAGATGGAAAATTTGTCTTTTTGTACAGTAATTAAGGTTTTTAATTACTGTACAAAATTTCAGACAATTTGGTTTAGTTTAAGCCCTTTAACTATTGATTTTGTTCTAAAAAGTCAGCCTTTCGCATGCTTAATTAATGCCTTTACCTAATTTGCATATTGCTGACATATGCAAATTAGGCAAATGCATTAATTAAGCATGCAAATAGCTGATTTTTAGGAAAAATGTAAGTTTGCGTGAATAGTTAAGGGGCTTAAACTAAACCAAATTATCTGAAATTTTGTACAGTAATTAAAAGCCCGACCAGTTTTCTACCTGTTAACTCAAAATATGATTGCAGCTTTTAAATTTTGTGCGCGAGCCATTTTTAGTTTGTTGGAACAGACACACACCCCTGGTTCACAAAATTTGATTTCGAGAAATTTTTCTCATTATTCTACATTATAAGTACCCAAAGAGGCCATATATATAAAAAAACCGGATACAAATAGGTGTTTTGCGAAATTGAGAGCAATTTTAAATCTGTTCAGTTTTTTTTTATACACCCTGTATAACATTCTTGATAAATTTTATAAAATTTAAAAATGATGTGTGAAGTTAAATTACAAATGCAGGTCGAAAAATGAAATGAACCAGTTTTAAAACGAAAACGAGAGAAAATCTGAGTTCCTTTACTGGCATTGAACTCTTTTCTCAAGCTTTAATTCACATGTGTTTTTACGAAACGCTAGATATGTTAAACACGTAAAAGGTTTTCAATGAAAGCAAGTTCTCATGGTACAAACCTTTAAGTGTAAAATTTTTTTCTGCAAATTTCCATTTATCATCAGACACATTTTGCAAAATACTGCCGATTGAAAAAACCTTAAACTTGTATGTCTCGTAGAGTGTCAGATTGGGCACGATTATGTTGGCCAAGTTCGTGGCATTTTTTCCAATGTCAATGGTATCACATTTTGACTCATTAATGCAAGGATACCACATCACGGTGTATGTTAAGGATCCGTTGAAACCATCATTATCCTTGGGTTTCCTCCATGTTATGTTAACTGAAGTATTAGTCAACTGTTCCAACTTTAAATCCACGACCTTGGATGGAACAACTAGAGAAAAAGAGAAAAGCGAGCGTTTAAATGATTGTGGGTTACATATATCGTTCGTATTATGGGAACTTCTACTAAACAACTGTGAAAACGAACTAACTTTGTTTATACCGGATACTGTAGCTCTATCGTTGCAAGTAACGAACCATGGACGCGCGAGGTCATAAACGAATTATAGAAATTATTGGCAACATAACACACTCATAACATAACAACTCTGTCTGTGTTAAATGTAAAAGGGCTAGATCCCTTGATGGTGTTTTAAACTGTTGTTAGTTGTCAGTTTAGCCGTTTTGTATTTGTGTTGTTATACTTTGTCTGTTTCGTTAATCAATTATTTGAACGTAATTTTTTATGTAAATATTAAGGGATCGCCGTAATTGGGGGGAACCTGTGACGAACTCCCTGGCACTACATTGTTGTATTTTTAGGTAGTTGCCGAATCTTATTAAAACATTAAAACATTAAAACATTAAAACATACAGACAGACTGAAATGTTGCTAAAATACTGCTAAAGTTTCGCCTTTAGCTCAAGTCTCACAATATATTAAAAATTGCAAGGTATTTAGAAATTTACGATACAATTGATGCATGGTTTTGACATTTTCCCATCACTTTCTTCCTCAAAAGAACTCCTCGCGATTAAAAGCTTAAGTACAGTGTAAATCTTCCTTAAATAAGGAAGGTACAATAGCTCCATTCTCCTCTTCGCGCCATGCAGAGAGAAACTGCATGGAGTACCTGTATGTTCGGTTTTCACCATAATTACAATGATTTGCATACATACCAAAGCATGGCCCGCTTTCATTATCTCCAATATAATGATCTTTTTTACATTTACATTTCGTGTGCATCATGTTATTTGTTTTACCATCAGGACATTTGTGGCATGCTTCATCTCCAACAACATTCTTGTAGTAATCAGTCAAACAACCTTTTAAAAAAAAAGTTGTGAATTAACAATAACTAATATATTATAATTCGCTTGCAATTGTTTTGTGGAAACACTACGGTCTACAGTTTGATTGATTGGCGTCTTTATTTAAAACACGAGATCCATTTCACAAGTTAAAATATGTGCTCTTCAATGGAGACGTGTACCTATGCTAGTAAACTAATTTCTCATAAATAAGTATCGAAATATTTACAAAAGTTACAGACTATAATAAAATAATTAAGAAATTTTAGATTTAAATTCAGCAAGAGATTGAGCTCTAGTGATTTCAACGCGGTGTATGTCGTTCCATAGGGTATCTCCTCTATAAGTAAAGTTTTTCTTTAAGGACTCAGTTGAGGGTCATGGAACAAAAAGTTTATGATTAGAGCTTCGCAAATTGTGTTCGTGTATCATAGAAGTTGGAGTACATTTTCTTGACAAGTAACTAGGAACCATGTTATTAGGCTAACGTACAGCGGTTTTGTATGTATACGTAGATTTACTGTATAACTTGGCAAAGCTTTCGATGAGTAAGCCCGGATCGTCATCAGTGCAAAAATTATCTGATGAAATTATCTGGGTTTACAGATAGAGAGCTTTGTCAGTTAAATTTACATGCACTGTAAATTTCAATTTTCAAGGAGTTCAATAAACTCCAAAAGTGCCATTCTGTCACAAAAAACGGTGCTTCCATGCACGCACTAATCTACAAATTCACCAAGAAAACATACAAGAAACTCGACAATATATTTGAGCTAGTGAAGCAATTAGAAATTGTTAGAAAATAATAGTTTCAATTGGTTCTGTATAAAATTATCATCTGCTGCCAAATTATTCTGCCCTACTATACTATACGTTTTATAGAAAACAGTAATTCCTTTATATGATCTTTAATGGTAAAATTCTAAAATAAATTCCTAATGATCTAACGTAATATAAAATGCCAATCGTAATCTTCATATCTATCTTTCTCTGTATCTATAATTGGCCAGCAAACTTTGCAACTCACACAGTGCGAGCTTATAAAATAATACACATGCAGCTATAGCTTTAGAAACGTGGTATTCTCCTGAAGGTGATTGTAAACATATAGTCATATAATTAAAATATTATCAATTTTAATACGAAATGTTTATTGTTCAGCGCCGCCGAGAAGGGGTGCAAAGAGCATCCCCCTGGCCCCCAAAACTCTCTTAATACAAAATTGCTTAGAATATAAAGCCTTGCTGTGGTTAACGTGCACCTTACTGTAAAACATCGCATCTTCAGTTTTACAATTATGACGTCATAGGGCCCTCCTTGCAGAGTTTTACCCAGACGCCGTGCAGCCGCTCGACGGCCCTGCTATTGTTTTTCTGTTTACTTAAAATACTCTATGATAACCGTAATCTGTCTTTCTACTGCATCTATCATCCTTGATTTATCTTCTATCTACTATTATTCTTTACTTACGTGAACATTCTTGGTTACTAGACTGGAATCCTTCGACACATACACATTTTTGATTGCCGAAAATCCAATTTCCTTTGGGAGTGCAATTTGCTGTTATATTCGTGGAATTACGGTCACTTGCAACAGCATTATCTCCACATTGAACTCTTACACTGATATTCGTTGTGGATGAGTCCACTTGACTTAAAATAATGTTATGCATTGTTGTTTTTTCGCAAAAATAATGATACATCTTGATAGAGTAAATATAGAACGTTGTTTGTGATGTGGCTCGTACAAGAATGCACAAATAACGATAGGACTTCTCGATAGTAGCGGTATTGAGGCTTCGCTTTTCAAACGTAACATTTTGTATAGACTCTAAATTCTTGAAGGAACTATTAAGGAAAGAAAAATACATACATAAATTGATTTTACTTCATGTAAGAGCGGAGAGGTTTAGTTTTTACTTCCACTACCGCTGCCAGCCACCTCTCACTGGTTTAATAGGTATTTGATTGATTGGTATACAGCTATTTCAATTAAGGTTGTCCACGAGCAAAGCGGAAAAGTCGAATACGAGCGCGAAAGGCTGCTGGGAATCGCTAACAAATTAATGAATTTTCAAAGCGATTCCCACTAGCAGCCTTTCGCGCAAATAACATATCCGTACAAACAAAATATCATTTGTACATAATACCTGTCTGATGATCCATAAATTTCTAATCGGAAAGGGTTATTAGTACATGCCGCTTCTATGTCAAGATACGATGTGTTTGGTGTGTTCGCTAGCATCGGTGTAAAGAACCAACTTGCACCACTACCTGCGCGAATTACTGTGATGAGTTTACTCTGTCGGTAATCCCACTGAACAAGAGAAAGATATACATCTTATATACGCGCACGACGTCCGAGAATGTTTTGTGATCCATACATGAATGTTTTATTCCGCTCACCCACATAATTAATTAATTAATGGTTAGACCATTTGTATTTCATTTACACTCTCCCACTTACATGATCCACATTGCCCTGAGAGCGAGCCAAATCTTTCCAATCCCCAAGCGCTTTAGGCCCAAGCTCTCCTATAAAGAAACATGAGAAGGTGTTGAATAGGATATAAATGATGATTTTCAACGAGAGTATCCATGTACACTGTATTGCACGATAATTACTGCCCATAAAGAATAATAGAAATTTCAACCGTTTTTATTTGATCGAGTGAAAATTATAAAATGGTTTTTCACTTTTCTAAGACTGATTCAGACTTTTGACTTTGCACACACAAGTTTCTGCTATTTGATATTTTTATTTTTTATTGGTCATGAACGTTTGCACGTTTCGTGTTACTTTTCTGTTTCTATCATTTTCACCATTAACCAAGTGACATGATTACAACACTGAATGCTTTGTTCGCTTTTAATATGGAAAGGTGTATCAGTATATAGTTACATGCTAAGAGAAGAGTTTCTGCAGCCTGATTACAAGTATGAGAATCATGGCCATGCTCTGGAACATTTACAGTTATCATGAAAGAAAAGCATACAGTACAACTGTGTAAATATATCGAGACATTTCGGGCATCTTACTCGATAGAACAAATAATTGAAGGGTTTTTGTAGGGGAAATTTCGGGTAGATGATTATATATACAATTTTGCTCAGCCGCTCCTGGCTAGGTCTAAAATTGTGTATAATCTTCAATTCGAAATTTTCACCTACAAAACCCCTTCAACATACAGAAAAACTTGCCTTTTCCAGCCAAAACTATTTGTAGCTGCGTGCTATAACAAAATGAAACTATGACACAAAACAGCCAAAAAGAAGTCATTTTGATTCAGATCGATTTCTTATATCTAAAATGGAATGAATGATAAATTATATTTTGAAGGACTATACCTAGCTGTTCACAAAGTCGCATGTTCCGGTAGAAAGAGAGAATCACTTCTATATACTCTATGATGATAGATTCTGCATAACAACTGTGATACGTCTTTTTCCATGATACATAAATAGACTATACTGGAAGACAACTTTGCGTCCTGAAACATTCGTACTAACTCGCACCCACCTACCTAGAGGGTGGTCATGCAAGGGGGCTGCTGACAGGGACGAAACTACCAGGGAACCACGCCCTCTTGGTCAGGCAAAATAAGCTCCCCCCCCCCCCACCGTAATACCAAAGTTTCGCCTCTGACTACCGTTGTTGCTTATATATACCCATTACACAGTGTAATCATACGGAAATTGTACAGTTTTTGCAGTTTAATTATCCGAAGCAATTTTCAATTATATAATATTGACATTATATGATGCATCGTGATTTGCCAACTTCATGGACACGCCATTTCGATAGTTTAAGATACATACATTTATAGTCAGGACCATAGCAACTGGGGTGAGATGGGGTGTAACACCCCAATATTTTTCATAGGCAGCCTAACTTCAAACAAATTTCTAGGTGACTTAAACTGATTTTCAGGTAAATTATGAGAGCACTGGCATTAAAACGACTCAGTCTTGTAAAAATTACTGAGAAAAAGTAATGAGTAGAAATTACAATTACTTCTCCTAAAAAGTAATTGATTAGCCGGATTACAAATTACTTTACTAGAAAAAGTAATTAATTACCAAGTACTAATTACTTTTCAAGAAGTAATTACCAGTTACTTTTAAAATTACTTTTCATTTTACTTTTTGTATTTAAATCATTTTGCGCAAAATTGGCGAGAAATTGAATTAAAAAGAGATAATACATTAACCATATCAATACATGAAGTAATGGTAAGGCTCACGCCGTATATTTCACCGTGATATTGCAGGCTTATTTGAAAAATATTTCATTTTTGTAAACATCGTATTCGTAGTAGTTCACTAGTTCTTAAGGCTCTTAACGCAGGGAAATAGCCTAGAAAAACGGTTTACTACTTTGTTAGATTATGTGCAATGAATGTTATAGAGATTGAAATAAAATCGAGAAGTAACGAGACGTTACTTTAAGAAAATCTTACTCGTTACCTTCAAAATGTAATTAATTATATTACAAATTACTTCAGTATAGAAAGTAATTAATTACCATCAAAACTACTCAAAAAGTAATTTGTAATTAGTAACGCGTTACTAAAACGTGGACGTTAAAGTAAGAATGCCAAATTTTAGTTGTATTTCTTGGCTTTCTGAGAGTCTAAATATTCAAAAAAATTTCGAGGGAAACCCACGAATAGATTTAATAACCCCTTATATCCAATTGTACTAATATATTGTTTTGAAAGAAACACACGCAATGTAACGTAAACTAAATAGTGAAATCCATACTATGGGAAAAAATAGTGAAATTCGTACTATGGAATTAAGGAATTTGCGATTGCATCACTAAACTACTATTGCCATAATATATCTTAGTATGAAAATTAAAATTAGTATAAAAATTGGATTTCCATGCTATTTTCAACGAAATTCCGTACTATTTCCATAGTAAAGATTTAGAAAAACATTTCCATTGCTATAGGAGGAGACAATCCACATTAATACAACGTCTACTTGATAACTAATTAGGCGAACTTAGTTATAAAGGAATTAGACGTTTCCAAGTTGTTCCATTCCTTCGCATTGTACTTGACATTTCCAGCATAACATCCCCGTAAAGGCCTTACTACAAAAATAACTATTCTTTCACTATAGAAATAACGATAAAGAGGACCACTCCTAAGCTACCTTCAAAAACTCATTAATAATTCATGAGGAAAACACAAAGATAAATCATAAGCGTGTCGTATCTTTATATGTTGATAAAGATTTCCCTTCATTTACATAAACTTTAACTTTGATTTTCTCAGCTAATACAAAGTTATTTTGGAAAATTATTTCGCCAATGCCGTGATCTAACTGAGACGTTTTTGAAGCTGTTTAATAAACTCGTAGTTCGTGTTTTATCACATATAAAACACTCCGCTACGCGTCGTGTTTTATATTGTGATAAAACACTCCTACTCGTTTATTAAACAGTACTTAAAAAACTCATTACTAATTCATGAGGAAAATACAAAAGAAATGAATGTTTAATCAATGTTTGTAAATCGGATAAAGATCTGTTCGATTTACATAAACTTCAGCTTTGATTTTCTCGGCTTAGACAATGTTTTTAACTAGTACTTAACTTCACACCCAAGTATATATAGCAAGGATTTATATCCTATAGCAACGAAGCGTATCAGATTCAAAGACAATGATACAAAAGTTTTTCTGAACGGCTCTTTATCAAACGAAGTGGATACCATTACCTTCTTTGTCGATTAAACTGAACACGCTTTTGTCCCCGCTAATAATTGATATTTGCCATAATGAATCAAATAATTTCGTTATAATTGTTCAGACAATCTTGTAATTGCAATAATGGATTAAATCAGAATCAGAATATATTATATTCCAGCATGAACGAAGTGTTCCCAAGTTTAGTTTGACGTTTAACAAAGTTTCGGACGACGATACTGTCTTCGGACGCTTTTAGTCAATTCGCAAGAAATAAAATCAAGTCACGTTAGGTTTACAGTCGACAACATTGTCTGTATGGCTTTTAGATGAGCACAAAACGTATCATATCACGAAGAAGGAAGTGAAACTACACACCCAAAAATCTCACATCTTGGAACAAGTTTGTCAACAAGCCGTCAACAATTGTCTTCGCACTGCTTGTCACAAGTTGTCAACAAGTTTGGAACAAGCTGTTAACAACTTAACAATAGTTGTAACAACCTTGTTGATATTATCAGGCTTGTTACAAGTTGTTCCAACAAGTCTGATACAGTCATGATATAGCAGTGTTGTTACAAACTTGTGTCGTCAACGTGTAACATTCTTGTTTATCATGACTGCATGTATCAGACTTGTTATAACAACCTTCTGATAATGCCATCAAGCTTTTTACAAGTTGTTAGCAACTTGTTTGCAGACCTGTAACAACTTGTGCGTTTTTTACGTGTGTAGGCGAAGTATTAATCAATGACAATGGAGAATTCGAAATAAAAATTAAGAATCCACATGCGTTTTATAAATTTATTACTGTCTCTGAAAAAAAATGTGAAGGTTCAAAACTTTCTGGGAAATCTTCCTTTCTTGAAAAGGAGAAATATTTCTGGTTGTTGAAATTGTAGAAGCCCTAGCTATTTGCGCATTCATTGTTAAATTGATAAGCAGAACGCATTCATTACGTACCAACCATACAATAAAATATTATTTACATCAAGTGTTTTGTTATTCAATTATAATATGACATAAAGAAAAAAGAAAACTATAGAGGCGTAATAATTATTCAAATTACTGGGCTGACACCTAGCATGGGACACCGTCCCGTTCGTGTTTAGCCTTTTATTTGGCTGTTACCAAATTAAAGTTGTTAAAATAAACTATAAATTAATTAACGTTGTGAACATTTTTTCTACCGGTCGGTATATATAAATATAAATTTGAAAATATTTCCTTCGAAATCTTGTCTGGATCAGTAGAAGTTGGAGTTTATTGAGTTTGCGTTTTTCTCTCATTGGTCAGCGGATTTCCCAACCGGCTATTGCCCAATTGATAGGGGATCCGAGGTAACTACGATTTTACGTCCTTATCCGAGAATACGCGAACGTCTAACCGTTAATTTACTGATATCAATGTGAAGGTATTTTAAGACCTTGAGTAGTTGAGTAGAGGTTTGACTCCAATTAGGATTGAACCCGGGTCTCTCAACTTGAAAGGCAAGCGTGGTTACTATGACACCACAAGTGCTGGTTTGGCTCCTCTCAAGTTTTGAAATAAACAGACATGCATAAATACATAAACTAAAACAGCACGGTTATATATTAACCGAGCGTTCATGGATCCAGCTTTTTGAACAGGCGGCCCCAGCGCAAAAAGCCGGGCTATACACCTCCGAGGTTTCTGAGCTAATTTTCCGCCGTACTATCTTAAATAACGGGCTAAGGATGTAGAATTTAGAGGATATGCTTTCATTGCGTGCTACAGCCGGCCACAAGGGCATTCACAAAATACGTGACGTTTTGAGAGGTCGAGCCTTTAAACAAGAGTCGTGACGATAAAGCGGAAATTGAAGAAGACAATATAGATGTTGATCTGAAATATTCTTTGATCTACCTCTGTATACAGTGACTTAGAATACGAAACTCTAGTATAGTTTGAAAG